GGGGAGAGGGAGGTCTGGGCCTCCCTTCTGAAGCTGCTGCCCCCGAGACCCGACCCCGGATAGGAGGAAGAAAATGGATGGATGGATGGATGGATGTATGGATGGATGGATGGATGGATGGATGATGGATGTATGGATGTATGGATGGATGGATGGATGGATGGATGGATGGATGGATGGATGGATGGAATTATTTTTCTTTAAAACCTTTAAAAAACATTGTTGTGTAATAACAGCCAAAGCAGAGAGGAATGAATGTCTAAAGTGTTCATATTAAAATAACACAATGTGATGGCCCACAGGATCTGGTCACTTTTTACCCACTAAACCTCAGATGCTGAAGTCAAACTTCACTTCCTGTTTTCTGTAAAGACTAATGAGGTAAATATTATGAAAATTAAGTTTGAAATTTTCAGTATTCTTTGATTTTAGTGTGGAAAGAGAATTAGCTTTAGTTTTATTTTTCTGTATTTTCTTTTTATTTTAAAGTCAAACATTGAATAATGAATGAGAACAATGGGTTCTTTTTAAATTTAATATTTTCATTGTCAGGTTTTGTATGCTCTAAATGCAACATAAACCATAATTTGGAAAATAAAATTAGTTTAATAAGAATAATTTGATTTTGTTTCAATAAATATTAAAAGAAATTGAGTCTTGATCTGGACTAAGTGTGTAACTTTCACCCTCTTGTGAATTCGACCCCCCTGTGTTACAGTGACACATTTTGACAGTAATTTAGAGTCTGATTAGTTTAAATGTTGTAATTATTGCACTGACCTTTGTCACCAAGTTGTTTCACCCAAATAAACATATTTCATATTGTTGGTGTTTTAGCTACAGCAGAGAAACAGCTCTATGATGGAGAGACTGAAGGAAGATCCTCCACAGAACAAAAAGACATTAGTCATTTTCTGAAAATAAACTTCATTATAGTTATTTTATAAACTCTACAAACATTGTTATTACTAGTTTTTGTTTAGTTCTTTGTTGTCCGTTTACCATAGTGCTCTTTGGTTCATTACTGACTCCAATGATCAGACTGTGACCTTTACATCACATCTGTCTGGACATCTCAACGCCTGCAGATACACCCACAGGATATCCATCATCTACAAGACCCTGCTAAACCTAGTCCTGTTATACCTTACCTCCTTAATACAAACATGACAGTCATTAGTGGCTGTGCTCCAACCATCTAGTCCTCCTACCAGTGCCTCCAGTCAGAACTGAACTAGGATTGAAAAAGAGCATTGAGCTTCACAGCCCCTCAGCCTGGAACAACTTACAGACAGATGTGAAACTGTCAACACTCATCCCTCCTCCATCCTTCAGGTCAGCTGTAACAGATGACGTCATCAGGAAACTTGACCACTGCAGATGTTTCTAAACATTACCTATCCATTACACATGTCACTGTTGTTTTTTAACTGCATCTACTCAAACCATGTCTGTTTTTATTCACTGACTTATTTTTTCACCTACATTTATTTTCAGGTCTTCCAAATATTGTAAATACTTCTAGAATTATTTCTAATCCAGATGTTTCTGAACTGTCAACATCTACTTATCGTGATTGTAGTTTTCTTTATTTTTCTTATTTCGTTTTGATTAATGTAAATGTTTTGTCACTTACTATGTGATGTGTGCTGATGACCACCTGACCAGGTCAGCTTGTAAAAGAGATCTCAACGGGCTCTACCTGGTTAAAGAAAGGTGACTGATTCTTCTGTTGTTGTCAGTTTGTTACAGAAACCAACCTGTAGAGTTGAATATTACACATCTGTATCAGATGGAAAATATCTGATTTAAAATAGATTAATATGTACAATGTATAAGATGTGTGTGTAATGTGACAGTATTAGGACAGCTGCTGATTCTGTGCACCTGACAAGGTGCCTTTTTTACATTTGAGCACCTGGCCCTGGAAATGTCTGTGCACGCTCCTGCACAGTATTAATATACACAAAGATACATGTACATACCAGTACATACAGACTTTGGTTTGCTTTGCACATTTGTACAATGTTGTATAAAGTACCTCAAAGTGATACTTGAGTAAAAGTACAAGTATCTTATCATAAAATACTTTGGTAAACGTTAAAGTCTTCTCTAAAAATATTACTTGAGTAAAAGTCTTAAAGTATCTGATATTTTTTGTACTRNAGTATCAAAAGTAAATTTCTGACACAAAATCTACTTAAGTATTAAAAGTAAAAGTACTGAGTAAAAGTGAGCAGTTAGATTTTCCAAAATGACATTTATTG